TGTATGTACACACATCTTTGCTTAGCATCAATACGTGAGACTAAAATTTTACTTTATTTTTATATTTCTCCAGTGCTTTTCTACTGATATGCTCTACACTAGTTTGGATCCAATATTCCAGTTGCTTCTGGCTTGATCCGGATAGGATCACTGGACGTGGTGCAGGAATTTTCTGTGTCCCTAAGTATTTGGTTCAATAGCCTGGCCACAACCCCAGGTAGGACACAGACACTGCTTCTAGTGCTGCTCCCCTCTTCTGGTCAGTAAGAGAATCTCTTGTACATTCTATCTTGACAAAAAGATTGAGAACAGATTTTCAAAAGGCCCCATGAGGTGACAGACTCCGGTTTTAAGGTAGGGTCAGAATTCTCTGACTATGGCTCCAATTTGGTGAAGTAATTATTGATCCTAGTATCGATGAAATTACTGATGAATTGAGTTTTATTATATTTATTTCCTAATGTATGTTTTGTATTTTGGACAGAATTCTTATTAGTCTTATCCACCTTCTGGGAGAACCTGTCACAAATCATGGATTTGTTTTTTGTTTTTAGTATTTTTGGCAGTACTGGGTTTTGAACTCAGGGCCTCAAGCTTGCTAGGCAGGTACTTTACCATTTGAGCCATACCCCTAGCCCTTTTTGCTTTAGTTTTTAAGGTAGAATATAGTGATTTTTCTCTGGATTGTCCTTGGACCATGATTATCCTACCTCTGCTTCCTAAGTAGCTGAGATTATAGGTACAAACTACCATGCCAGGACCCACAGCTCATTTTTTTTGGTAGTACTGAGGTTTGAACTCAGGGCCTTGTACTTGCTAGAAAGATGCTCTACCACTTGAGTCATGCTCCCAACCCTTTTTTGCTTTAGCTATTTTTCAGATAGGGTCTTGAAATTTGGAGCCTCCTATCTATACCTCTCATGTAGCTAGGATTAAAGACATGAGGCATTGTGCCTACTTTATTTGTTGAGATTGAATATCACTAACTTTTTGCCTGGTCTGGCCTTTAACTCACAATCTCTACCTCCTAAATAGGTGGGGTTAAAGGTATGAGGTTTTGGTAATTTGTAGCCCTTTGCTGTGGTTTGGACATTTGTTTGTCTCCCAACAGTTCATGTGTTGAAATTTAATTTCTACTGTGAGAGATTAAATGGCTAGAAACTTAACCCAACTATGGTATTTAGTGGTGGGACCTTTGGGAAGTGACTAGGAGTAGATAAAGCTATTAGGCAAAGTCCCGGTGATTGAATCCTGGTGGTCATGTAAGAAGAGAGAGATTGATACCATACACTCCACCCCCATATACTCCTTATCTTTTGCCATGTGAGGCCCTGGACCACCCATCACAAGATGTAGCCTGTTAACCTTGAGCCTCCAAAACTGTAAGCCAAATAACCTCTTTTCTTTATACAGTAGCTGCCTACAGTGTTTTTCTGTAACAAGAAGAAACAGACTAATACATACTTGGTGTCCTTCTGTGAACAGAGTTGTTTTGTTTTATTTTGTTAAACATGGAGCAGAGGCATGAGGTTCAGTCCAAGAGAGCTTCCAACTTGCCCGTGTCCTTCTCTGTGTGGCAGAGGTGGAATGGAGAAGTGGTATGTATTGTGGCCTGAAGAACTTGTGAGCATCTTACTACTTTTTTTCTCCAATGTGAGGTAACTAAAGATGCATGCCCTCGAGGATTAGATTAGAGAAGTCTGCCTAACTAGTGAATGGGCTACCTCTACTTGTTAAAAAGTATTCCAGACTCTGTGTTTTAGAAGAGGAGTTTAAAGTGAGAAAAAGAATATTTGCTTTGAGAGTTACTTGTGTATGGGGGATGGGATACTTCTTTGCAGTTTAGATGTATCAATGGCTAAAAAGGTATCTGCTCTGGAAGGTTCTTGGGCTTTATACTTTTAGTAAATTTATTTCTAGAGGTCATAAATTTAATGAGATGTCAATTAAAACTTCATATATGTAATTGGTGAAGACAAAACTCTGATGTATGTCAAGAATCTACATCCATTTTAACACAATATTATGACCTAAAGAGTAGGTGCATGTTTCCTTCGTGCTAAAAGAAAATTGATTTGGAAAATTTTTAGGGCTAGCAAAAGTGAAGAGGATATTGAACAATCAGTTGCTTCAATGGTGTGAAAACATGGATATTTTAACTAAAATGAGGACAAGAAACTGAATTTGCCGTAATGGGAAAGTTCCCTGTTTCAGTTGATGGGCAAGAACTGTAAGGTTTTTTAAGTGGTCACAAAGGAGAGACAAAGAGCACCAGAGGTGACATAGACTCTAGATTCTCTAGGGCTCATTCAAGATAGAAATTACTTTGATTCCCTTCAGCAGTGTTTGTTTTCTCATTTTAACGTTATCTGCCAGCAGTAGTTTTGGTGGTCCATTTAGTGTGACCAATCATAGTGTTCTATTTTTTCCACTATATTTGATTCTTTTTTATTATTATAAATTTTTATTAGGGTATATTTATTATATAGGGGGATTCATAGTGACAATTCTGATTAGACTTATATTATACATTATTTACATTGCTCCCATCATCTCTCTCTCAGCCCCTTCCCCACCCCACTTAAAGCAATTGCAAGAGGTTATTTGTTTTGTTTCATGTAGGTGTAAGAAGTCCATCAACCATATACTTGTCACATTAATCTCCTTCATTCACCTTCTCCCTTCTCACTTTACCCCCTGCACACACTGCTTATTTTTTAGTCCTGATTTTTGTTATTAATATTTAAGTTGATGTTCAGAGGGGTGTCTCAATGTATGCCCTCTGTGGGTGTGCTTTACTTTGGTCTGTTCAATCCTTTCCAATACTCTCCCTTACCCCTTTATCTCCCTTGCCCCGTTTTTGAACAGTTTTCAATACATGTACTTATATTCTCTGCTTTTACATCTTATGTAAAAAAAAGGATGCAAGCTAATACTATTTTTTTGCTTTCTTCTACAGAAATGGAGATGAGCAGATTAGAACAGAGACACCTGTGTGAAGCTAATAATAAACACCTCAGCCACTGGGAGTGGGGGACATGGGAAGCCTTAAAAAGGATTTGAATTCTTCTTGGTCTTAATTTGACTTTTTTTTTTTTTTTGGCACTGGGGTTTGAACTCAGGGCCTCACATTTGCTAGGCAGGCACTCTTACCACTTGAGCCACTCTCTCAACCTTTAATGGGATTTTTGGAGATGGGTCTTGCGAACTATTTTCCTGGGGCTGGCCTTGAACCATGATCCTCCTGATCCCTGCCTCCTGAGTAGCTAGGATTACAGGCAAGAGCCACCGGCACCTGGCTGCATGATTCTTATTGTGGGCTAAATCCATGGGCCAGAACCTAATCAAATGGCAGAATAGGAAATGTGTTAATTTGAAATAAAGTATTTATATTAGAGTTAACTTTGGCTAGAATTATTCAGTAGTAGAAGACAGGAATATACAAAGAAATGTAGTACAGAGTGCAGGAAATTTCAGGGCATGGAAAATTTCAATAAATAAATGATTATTTCTCCCCCAAAATATAATGGCTTGTTTCTCAAAAATATGAAAGAAACTCCTGAAAATAGCTCCTTCTGTTCTCTGACCTAGGTTCCCAGGAGGAAAAAAAAAGAAGCACTAATTGATGGGAAGTTCATGCCCAGAATGCAGCCTGCATTCAGAAGCTAAAAATAAAGGTTAGTGTCACACTGAGGTTTCTTTCTGGTAAAGTGAAAGCATTTTCCTGAATAAAGATTGATAATGAAGGCCATTTTAAGACTGCAAACAAGTTCAGCCATTTGGTAACCACCACCTTGTCTTTTCCCGTTAATTACACTCTTACTCAGAATGTGCTAACGCAAGCGATACCCACAGCAAAGCTGGAACACGACAGGCCTGTGATGGGGTGGCAGGTATCTCAGTGAGTAAGACAGACATGGTCCCTGACCTTATAAAGTCTCTCTGCAGTAGGGAAGAGACATTATACAGGTAATTACCAATGTGATAACTGACTTATAAAGGAAATCACAGGTTGTATGGCACCAAGAAGCATTAGGACATGGTCTGAGAAAATGATCTTTAGGCTAAGATCTAAAGAAGAAAACCTTGAAAGTACTGATACACTAATCCAGATTAATATAGAGAAGGCCAGCCCCCAAAGCCATCATCAGCTCACAGCATGCCTTTATGTGAATTAGAGAAAGCTGCTCTGTCATCCTAACTGGATGGGTGCCCCAACCAGTCATGGCCCTTTGGTCTGGTGGCTTTGTGGGGCCCAAACAGCACATTCACATCAGGTCCCTCCTACATAGGGTAGTATTTTATTTTTATTAAATGGAACACTACACAGGACTGATTATTTCACTGGTATTTAGCTAGAAGTTGAAATGATTTACATTTCAAGAAATAGACTGGTTAAAGGTTTAACAAGAAAAGAGAAAAAAGTTCCAATTTGCTATGATAAATATAAGTTATATATTGTGATTCTTTACCTCTGAAACTATAATTCTAAAAAAAGAACACATGCTAGTTGATTTGCTTTCATTGTTGTTCTGCCAGATAGGAAGTCCAGATCCCTGAAACTTCTGTACAATGCTGTTGTGAAGTGAAAGAATGAACAAGTAGAGGCAAGAAATGATCCAGGAGCAAAGTTTCTAGAGATGAGAAAGAGAGGCAAGTGAGCATTATTGAAGTATGTGCGTAACAGCCAAGAAAAGGAAAGCAAGGGAGCAAGTTACGACACAAATAAAGGAAAAATGCAGGGACCAACTCATGGAAGACTATATCAGTGTTATGCTGATTGAAAATGAGTATAATTTAAACTTAGTTTGTTAAAAAAACAGTATCAGGGTAGCGTATGGTAGAAATAAAATAAGTAAAATATTAACGAGTTGCTAAAGCAAAAACAACAGCAGTCCATCCAAATTCTTCTCCCCCTTCATACTCTCTATCTCCCTACTCTTTTAGTTCCACTCTTCCTATTTTTTTCCTTATTAAATTCTGTTTTGTTTCTGTATCTGTAAACAATATCCTTGTATCATTACAATTTTATTATAAAATTTCCAGACACATGCAAAAGTTGAGTAATGATTCTTCCAGTTTCCCTTCACCTAGCTATAATAATTATCCACATTTGTCAATCTTAGTACATTTTCCTCTTTGATTATCCAACATCAAAGGAAATGTGTATTCAATAAAAGTCTGTGGCATGTATTCGATCATTCTGGCATGACCATCTTCGCATCACTTGAACCAACCAAGGTCAGAAGGTATGGATGGAAGGTGAGTCAGGCCTGGATTCTGTGCTTGCTCCTGGTACACTGTGGATCTATCCCTTCCTGACCAAGGGGATGCTTTGTATTGAGGTTGGTGATGTCAAAGGAAAACTGATAGAACTTTTGTCAAAGTAACAAAGTAATTCATGAGGAAGAAGACCAAACAAACCAAACCAATGTCCTGTACACATAGCAAATGGACAAAAATATATAATTTAAGGGAAACCATAACAACTAAGTCCAGAGCTAGACAAGTTAGATTTTAGATTCAAGCTAAATCTATACTATTATTCAACAGAACTTTTCTCCTAACAATTTTCTAGACCTAGAAGTATAAAATAATGGCAGTAAATGTCTCCAAAATCAGGAATTGTATTTACCACTGGCAGCACATTAGTTTTTATGTATTCAATAGTAATCTGTGAGTATTTCAGTTACAATTAGCAGTAAGCTTAAAAACAAGAGGCAAAGCCACAGTCTATTTGTAAAACAGAGGAAGAACCACTCCTATTAGAGAGAAGGTGGGGATAAAGTTGGGTTTTGACTTTGTCTCTGAGGCAACCTATTAAACCCACCATCACTGTTAAGCACACCAGTTCTGGAGTTCAACTGGCTGGGTTCAAATCCTTCCTCTAGCCAAGGTCAGATTATCCAGAAGTAGACTAATCACATGCTGAGGAAATCAGAAAATTAGATACCAACCTCTTAGAGATTGAATTTGATATTGAATAAAAACTCAGTAGTGAACACGGGAAAATCAGAACTCTCTGAACTTCATCTATTTTCTAGATAAAATTTTGTTTAAATTGTAAATCACTTGGGGAGGAAAAATTCCAATTTTTTTATTGCTGTAGATTTCAATCAAGCCCTGCTTCTTCCTCTTATTAGCTTTGTGATCTGTGAAAAATTATTTACCTAAGTGTTGATTTTCTTATCTATGAAGTGGGATAATAACAATGGCTACCTACCTCAGAGGTCTTTTGGAAAGATTACCTGTGATAACTCATAGCAAACACTACACATGATGCCTGGGACACACTGACTGCTCATTACGCCTAAGGGGTCATTACTGTTCTTTCACTTAACAAATATTTCCTGAGCACATAACAAAGGAAACTAGTGAGATAAAAGAAATTTATCCGGGATCTGGGAAGAGTGTGCAGATGGGATTCGAAAGGACATTTTCTAGGTTAGTTCTCCTCATGAGGAGCCCTCTACTCTCACAAAGCTGGAATGATATTGAAAACAAATAATACTATGGTTGAAAGGCATATGGGTGAAAAAAAATGGTCCAAGGCACCAAGTGTCATCAGTCAGACCACACTGTAATCTCCCGCTTCTCTTTCCCCACCTGCTGTACACCTTTACTCTTCTGTACCCATGCACTCTCGCATGGGGTGTTCTAGCCAACATGGCAGGTGGGCCAGACTATCGGTCACTTCCTTCTGGACAGGCCAGCCCCAGGCTTCAAAGAAAGGAACCAGATTCTTCTGCACTTTTTCAGAGAACTTCTTTACCCATAGATTCATCTTGGCGGTATTGTTTTGGGGGATGCCAGAAAAAGTCCTGTAGTCAGCAAAAAGCTGGGTGAATGGTTCCCACCCAAAGGCTTCCTGGAGCTACAGAGAGAAAGGAACAGAATGGAAGGTTAAGTTTGGCAAAGCATTCATGTTCTTAAGTACACTTCATTTACAGTGATTTCTTCCCCTTCTTCATTAGCTTCACTCCTATTCAGTGGGCCCTATCTCCCAACTCTGCCCCTACACATAAATGCAAATTTGGTGGCTCACTCCATGAAACAATAACCCTCATTCTAGCACAGGGGCTTATGGTAAATCAAACATATGAAAAGAGGTATATATTCAATGACAGTTATTATTATTATATCTAATTTAAAAAAAACCCTATATCCCCAGATCCTAAGTGTTTACTTCAGCATCAGGACAAGTTTGAGTTTGACTGAGATTAGAACCTACCATATCCTGCACAGGAGGCTACCAGACTAATGAAGACCTGAGCCAAACACAGCCACAGCTGAATAATGGGGAAAGGTGGAGGAAGCAGAGGTGCCTGCCTGTCCTGAACGAAGTCTCAAGCTTCAAGATAGTAATGGGAACCTCCATAGCTTTCTGTACTAGTGAGTAGGTAGGTGGGTGGGAGGGGCAGAAGCAGGGCTTTAATTTATTTTTCATTGTCTACCATTAATGTCTGTTGTCCTGTAAGCCCTCAGGCTGGTTATATGAGAATATGGAATTCTGTGTGTGATATCCTGGGTTCAGTCTCCATCACCACCTCATATATGTGGTGGGGGAACAGAAAGTTGTGCTCATTTCATAGAAGTAGACTTGCTTCATGATTTCTGTGCTCTCCCACTAGGTTGGTCAGTTATTTATTTCAAAATATTTTTGGTTCAAGTGGGTGGTAGAAGTCTGAGACCCTTGTTAGTGCATTTATATCCCACAATGCCCTACTGTAATGCAGTTGCCCTGTAGACATGTCCCTGACATTATACAAGGATGCTAATACTCACTCAACCCATAAAACTAAGGTGAAGAAACAAAACAGTGACTTTTATGGAACACTTATTAGGGGGCAAGGGATAAAAAACAGTGAGTCGAAGAGTTGTGATTCAATCTCAGGAATGTCTGACTCAGGGTTTCTGCTCTTCACCAATATATTAGATGTTTATAAATATGCCATCTTATTTTTCCATAATACTTTTATTTCCTCTTACATTGAAAATCACAAGGAGAGTGTGGGACAGGAGTCATTCTCACATGGGTGTATAATGAGCAGCAACACCATGCAGCCGAGAGTCCCACATGTAGGGGATATGGTGGCCCCAGGCTGGTGGGGTTCAAGAAGGAGGAGAGGTCCTGGGAGCCAGGACGTATGTGACTGAGGGGTCTGGAGACCCTGTCTCCCTGAATATCTGCTCAGTACCTGTAGATATGTTTCCAGAGCTGTCCACACATTCCAGTCACACAGGGGTGCTCCCTTTCTCAGATGTGCTTTGATTCTCTTCTCTCGTTCTGAAGGTTTCAGAGCAGGATGGGCCTGAGCCCTGGGGATCCCTAGGACAGTCTCATGCACATAGACTGACCAGAGGTTGCAGGTAGCCTCCGTGGTGTGTGGGGGAAACTCCCACTCTTGCCGTTGCTGGTTGTGGCCCAACTCGTGAATGGGTCCCCACAGACCACTGCTTCTCATGCTTGCTTCATTGATGAGCTCCTTCACTGACTCCAGGTGGCACATGATGGGGTATCCTGAATGCATCCAGCCTGGGAATGCGGAAGGAAAAGTTGGAGCATGAAAGCAGTGCCCATCAAAACTTTTTTCCTTCACTTCTCTCCACTGTGGAACTTTAACTCACCATCCTGTTCATCTCTGATACTCCCAGAACTTCTGTGCTGAATGGAAAGTAGATGAGTGACTTATAGATAACCCAGTCCCTTTCTCAACCTCTCCTACCTGAGTTTTGCTCTTCTCTTCTCTCTGGCCCTGAAGAACAGAGGTATACTTAACACAGTTGTCTTTGTTGAATTTGATGTTTCACGCACACGTGTGTGTATGTGTGTGCATGGGTGTGTGTGCACATGTGCTTCCTTTGCATGTGAGTCTGTGAGATTATGTTCTTTGTCTGGGTCTGCTATCCTGAAGGCTATAACAGTGTCAGTTTTTCTTTCCCCCAAACCTGCACTGTTGTCCAGATTTGTTTCTATAACAGAAATAGTTTTGTCCTTTTTTATAGGTAAGAAAATCTTCACATGGGGAGCAGAGTTGTTAATTTTCTTCCTATATTCTTTCCTTTAGACTACCCAGTACCTAGCACAAACTTCTTTATTCAATTCCCCTCTTTGTTTTCAACTGACTTACATTTGAAGAAAACAATTCAGTTTGTACCCTCTCCTTGAAATGACCCTCGCTGACATTGGTGACCTCCCAACACCAATTTTCTGAGAATGTTCTACAGTCCTATGAAATCTCACCTTGTAGCTACCTATGATTTACCTTTAACCCCTAAACATCTTTTATCTCTATTATTCCACAATTTTTGACAATATTAGGTTTGAAATCAGAGTTTATGCTTCCTAGGCAGACATGCTACCACTAGAGCCATTCTGTCAGCCTTTCTTTTAGCTCAATCATGGTCTGTGTCTCTTATGTCTTTTTCCCCTTAATTGTACCTTAGTAATAAGATTATTCTTTACCTATCTTGAATCTTAAACAAAGACAAAATAACTAAATGATGTCCACTGACTAGAAGCCCCCCTCTCCTCCCGCCCCTGAAGTACCCACCAGCTGAGATCTGCACATCAGCAACAATCCTCTCAGGTCTGTGGAAAGGGAAAGGCTGGGCAGCTAGCCTGGCTATAGCCTGCATCATCTCATCCCAGAGGCAGAGCAGAGGCGTGGGATCCTCCAGGGCCTGGAGATTTGCAGTTGGCACTGTCAGGATGATGTTGTCTGTGGCCAGCTCTCCCCAGGGAGCTGGGTTCTCCTGGATACTCTTCTTCCACTCCTCTTTGGATGTCTTACCTGGGAATAAACATGGAATCTGCCACCCTCTTACCCAATTTCTCTTTGAGTTGAAAAATACAACTTGAACTTCAGGAGGAGAACACTGAAATAATGAATTGCTATCACATGGGTCTACAAGCTGTGGATGAAGGACAAGCTTCCAGACCTTTCTCTCTACTATGAAGTATCCACGGACACAGGGTGTTCTCTATCTCCTATCTGCATGCTCACCTCTAATAATTCTTCATCTCCCACTTTAAGCTCATAGTCAGCAAACTATCTGCAGTTCTTCATTTCCCTCAACTCCCAGTGTACTCACCCAGCTTGTAGTATGGGGCAGGTACAGCCCTCCTGATGGTGACAGACACAGGGCCAAGTTGAGAGCACTTGGGCACAATGATGTATAGGAGTCCCCCCCAGAGACAGGGGACTGACTGTTGGGTCCTGTCCATGCAGCACTGGTGAATCACCCTGGGGGCTCGAGACAGCTTGCTGGCCTTGGTCAGGTCATCAGTGTGGCAGCCAACCTGTACCTGCACAGATGAGTCCACCATGTTTGGGGAACTGGAATCCCTGAGATGGGTGGGGGGGAGGTGAGTGTGGAGGGAGGGAATTAGATGTGAAACTTCAACTTCCTTTTTTCATGAATGATGCAAGGAAATCTATGCAGGTGTAGCGCTCCAAAGTCATAGGGACTGAAGTGCTCGTGTAATTCTCTTCCAGGGATGTAAGCAGCTCTACTGTGGATCTCTATCAAACATGAGTTAGAGAGACACCAGGCATAACCCAAGATCGAGACTGAAGAGGGGCTGGTTGTCTTTCTATCAGGCAGAATCCTAGGCCCTTACACCAGGCCTATGCAGTGAGGTGATTCCTTTGCTGGAAATGAGCCAGGGCACTCTGGCTGGCCCCTTGTGAACAGACAGGAGACCCATCCAGCAGGTGTGAAGTCTGGCCTGGTGGCAGAGGACTGGTACTTTTTCCTTTCTCCAGCACTCCCCTTCAGGCTCTGTCTGGAATATTGGGGTTCTTTTCCTTAGGTGAAATGTAGGTGACCCCCAGAGAGGATGCAGACACAAAAGAGTCCCTAACTGGTGGGAAGCGACTCTCAGTTGAGGATGCAAAAGAATTTAAAGTCTCCACATAGGGTATATTTCATGGGGATGCAAGCAATGAGATTAAATGCATTCTCTGGGTTTCAAAGTGAGACCTATGCTATCAGGAAAAGGGGCAGATATAGATATGTCAGTGGGTAAAATTGCCAAGCATGGAAATCAGTCCAAGGATCAAGTCCTGGATCTTATATTAGTAGCTGGGACCTTCAGTCACATACTGGGGTACCTGTGAAATCTGAGATGGGCAGAATATCCCTCCCTGTGCTCCTGGCAGCACTTCCCAGCCCTGGATGGAAACAGTGGATGAGAAGCATGCAGCCCTGTGATTTGGGGAGGTGCTGGCTGAGGGTGTCTGGTCTTACCTTCAGGCCAGCAGATGCAGCAGCTTCAGACAGGGAGACATCTGCACTTTGTCCTTCCAAGAGGTAGAGCCCAGTGCTCACCCAGGAATCACTGTTCTCTGACAAAAGGAATATTGAAGGCTGAGTTCTGTGCTCTTACATGACTCCATATTCGGTCCCCCCAGACCTCCTAGCTTCCCATGGTGAGTCCCAGTTCATCTATACTTTCTGTACTCATTCTTCCTAAGTCTTTTTTTTTTTAAAAATTTGGTGGTGGCAACAGAGTTTGAACCCAGAGTCTTATACTTGCTACACAGGATATCTACCACTTGACCCACACACCTAGACCTCTTGCTTTAGTTATTTTTCAGATAGGATTTTTTTGTTTTTGCCCAAGACTGGCCTTGAATCTTTATCCTCTCCCATAGTTGACATTACTATGCTGTCATATATAATTTATTTGTGGAGATGCAGTCTTGCTAACTTTTTGCCCAGGCTGGCCTTGAACTATGGTTTTTCTGATCTCTGCCTCTCATATCCTAAATCTTAAATAGAACCCCAACCTCATCTTCTTGGTAAAGCAAGTAGCTGGTCTTCCTGAGGTTCAGTACTTGCAAGGTCCTGTGAAGTCAGACCACCTCACCTTCCCCCAGACCTATGATACTCTGGGCACTCCGCTTCCTCCTACCTGGGTTGGTCCCATTGATCTCCACAGTGATGGGGAATTCAGAGGGGAGCAGCCTGGAGGAGCAGGTCTGGATCCCAAGGCCCTGAGCCAGTTGCGAGCAGTCCATTCCTGAGCGTGCTAGCTCTGTGGCCAGACAGAGTATTGTGGCCTCACAGGAGTCACTGTCTATTGGATTCTCCCTGCTCACAGCTGGGAGGCCAGCTTGTCTTAACATCTTCCTCAGGAGCCGGTGCAAGGATGTATAAGCAGGAAGCCCCTCTGCAGGAATCTGAAGGAAGGCTGCACCATCGACTCCCAACTTTGCCAGGTAATTCTTTTCCAAGTTCCCACCCCTGTGGTTCAACATGGCCTGGAGTTCAAGCAGTGCCTTGCGGAAGTGGTAGCTCCTCATCTCTGGAGGAGGGACAGAGAAACAGCCTGGGTTGAGGGTTTGAGGTAGGATGCTGAGGCCAAAGCGGTTGAGGATGACATTACCAGGGAAATTAGCCAGGGGGGAGCGGCCTGGATTCTGGGATGCCCACCACCAGGCATGACCACCAATCAGCAACCCCCCGCCTTCGGCCACAAACTCTTGTATCTCCTTAGCCTCCTGGTCACTGTAAGCCACACAACAGTAGACGAGCAAGTCACTGGTCAAATGGGACTCCAAGCTGCATTTCACACCATGCTGCACTAGTAAGGGATGCAGATTTTTAAGACTTTTGTTCACTCCAACTTTGCCTGTCTGGCCTTTGGCCAACCAGTGCACAGCATTGAGCAAAAAGGGTTTCATCTTGGGAGCCCAGAGCATGCCCTCATGAGCAGCCAGGACTACACGGCCACGACCATAGCGGGCAGCTGCCAGGAAGCAGCCTAGGGAGGCATCGAGGCCCAGAGGGAAGGCCAGGGCCCCATGCACCAGCAGCTGTGAGGGGACTCCCCCTGTCTTGATGTCGAGCTCGGAGATTCCATCCAGAAGTTGCTGCTGATCCTGCAAGAGCTCCTCCCCACACCTGGGGATGAAACAACAGAAATGAACAGGCTACTGTGAGTTATTGAGCCACTGACACAAGCAAACTTACTAGCTACGTCAGAGGAGGTCGGGCCTCTGTTTCAATACAGTGGTGTCCTTATAAAGGAGAGAGACTTGAACACAGACATTCACACAGGGAAAATACCCTATGAAGACAAAGGCAAAGATCTGAGTCAAGGAAAAACAAAAATTGCCAACAAAACACCAGAAGCTGTGAGAAGCATGGAATAAGATTCTTCCTCACAGTGTTCAAGAGAGACCAACCTTGTTGACATCTTGATCTCAGGTTTCTAGTTTCCAGAACATATGAGATGATCAATTTGTATTGTTCAGCCATTAGAATTTTGTTACAGAAGCTAACCTGTCCTTAGCTAGGGCTCAGCAATGTATGGCATCAATATTAAACCTTCCACTTTCAGATGTTTATGTACTGTTTTCCATTCATTTTATCATGTAGAAAGGGCAATTCTACCATCTTGCCTAATATGAAATACAAACTGTGAAAACACACCTGAGCTGCTGATAACCTGAAGTTTTTGGACAAAGCCTTTTCTATTCTAAAGGACTGCCATGAGGGTAGAATGAGGTAGTATGCAATCTTCAAGAGGTTCATAAACCTAAGCTACCAGTGTGTATTTACTTTTCTATAAGCAGCTTGTAGTATGTTCTAGACTTGTAGATTATATCCTGTGTAAGCGTGGGATCTATTGATGGGTTGAGGTTAACTTTTCCTCCAGATTCTTCTGTCTTGGTTATAAAAGCAGCCAGTGCCTTTGGACCTGCCTTTGAATATTAAAGTAAACTGCAGCTGCTTGCCTCAGTTACATAACCATAGGCTGCCCCTGGGGACAGGAAGAGAGAGGTCTTCTGCTGGTTTGTGGAGAATGCCACTCTCCTTGGCAGGCAAAGTTGAGTGATGCACAGAACACCAGCCATAAGGAGATCAGGGACTTCCAGGAGGGATTTGAAGGAAAGGAACCTGCTAGGTCAGTCTAGGGACTTTTGACCATGACTCTTTGGCAGGGAAGTTCACTGAGACCCTCAGTGGGAATCCCTCAGGAGGAAGGAATCTGAGTTAGAGACCTTTTCAGAGTTTAGAGTTCAAGCGTGTGGTCAGCTTCAGCTCAGTTGTTGGCTCAAACTCAGCCCTCTGGCACCACATTCCATAAAATGAAGTTGTCTACAGGGTTAACAGTAGGACAATATGCCACCTTTTCTCTTGTGATGATTTTGTATATGTATCATCCATATTTTTTCACTAATTTATATAATTTACAAATATTTATTGACCGCTGCTCTTTCACATACCAGCCACTGATAAAGAAGCAGTAAAAATGACAAGCAAGATCCACGCATGTTACAAACAATATATTCTTCTTGACAGGCATTAGCAAGTGAACAGGTGAGAAACTTACACTTATGATCCATAACATGAAGGGAACACATGGGGAATGTGGTAAGGTCAGTCCTCCTCTCAATAGGACCAAAGGAGGAGACTGCTCTGAGAATGCTAGAGTTGAAATTGAATGAGGAGAATTAATTGTCCTTTCAAGAGCTGTCAAGTTCACTGACACTGAGCTGCCATTTTTAACTAATGAGATTTCCAAATATTGTCACATCTTGATTTCTTGAGAAAGCAAGAAATCTAATGTTACAGGTTGTGGTCTTTGCACTGAGGGAGAGGTTTTATTTTTATTTTCTTTGTGGTGCTGGCTGTGGTATTGGAGACTGAACTCAGGGGCTTGTACATGCTAGGCAAGAGCCACATGCACAGTCTCAGGTAGACAGCTAAAATACTTCACAGATGTATATTGTTGATATTTCAATTATAGTTTCCTTCCCTCAGAATATCCAAATCAAAAAATACCTACTTATTCAACAAAAGGAAATAGTTAGCCAAAGTTATAGAACATGTATTATGACTAAAATTCTCACTAAGGACATTATTGTAAAAACAGAAGTATGAGTATGCTATCACAATGAGCAAATGATGTGATAGAAGATATATAAGGTAAATATTTTGTTAGTGACATTATGAGAACTACAAATATTCAACTACTTTACTATCATATTGTTCTTTCAATAACAGAAATAAAGAAAATCCATTTCTTTATTCTTTTTGCTGCAGAATCAATCAAAACAATATGAATTGTGCTAGCGTTTTGTTGCTATCACAAAATACCTGAAGAAAACAACTTAAAAGAGGAAAGGTTGATTTTGCCTCATGGTTTCAGACCGTGGTCATCTGGCTGCATGGCTTTAAGGTGTGGTGAGGCCTTATCACTGAGAGGAGCACAGCTGCCCAGTTCATGGCAGCAGGAAGCAGAAACCATTGAAGAAAGAGGCAGGGGATAAGGCATGCCCCAGTTACATACTTCTTCCAAATAAGACTTACTGCCTTGTTTTTACCACCTCCCAATAATGCCATCAAATTATAAATCTATCAGTGTATTAATCCACTGGTGAAGTCAGAGTCCTCATGATCTAATCGCTTCCCAAAAGCCCATTGGCTGGCAAGCAAGCCTTTAACCCTTGAGTCTTGAGGGGGCATTTCAGATTTAAACAATAACATAAGTGAAATCATGTCAAAGATATACATCGTAATGTGATCTGGAGAACATTTTCCTACTGCTTAAGGGTTTTAAAAAGGCAAAAATTTGGTGAGGACAGAAATGTTTGAAAACTAAACTAGTTATCTATCTATATTGTTTTAATGAATCTGGCATCATTTTAACAAAGCTTTATATCTTAATGTTGTCATTGTATCATGAATCTTTTCCTTTTCCTTTAAGGAGTATCTGAACACATGATTTTTAATGGCTATATAATTATTCACTCTACAACTGCAGGCTATACCATACATTATTTAAGACTCTTCTATTGCAGATGGTATATTTCTTTCAGTATTTCACTTAATAGTCAAAATATTGTCAAGAAAGTTTTGTTACCAAGTATTTGCCTCATAGCCCATCTCTTTGCTTAATCTTTCTTTCTTGCCTTCCTTAACTAAGATCACTCCTTAGTGAACTTCGTGCACACTAATCTCTCTGAGTCAGTTTCTCAGGAACTCAAGCTGCAGGAAGAGGAACTTGGCAATGCATGCAAAATACCTATACATATCCCCTGTCAGTCAGCAAACTCACTCCCAGTGATACAGCCAAAATTTGAAGATACATGCACCAGAGTATTCATTGCAGCATCTTTGTAATAGTAAAAATCCTGGAAAAATAAAAATGCAAACTGAAAACCCAAATGTCTGTCATAAGGAACTTATGAATAAGTTACATTACATCCACACATTGTCGTATAATAGATAATGTAGTACATCTTTATATGCTGTTGTGGAACCATATCTAGGAGATAATATTGAGTGGAAAAAGTAAGGTAGAGAAAAATGTGTAGAGTGTAGTGCATCTTTTTTATTCAAGAAAGATAAGGCTATTTATCTGTGTCTGCTTATACATAAACAAATAATGGATTAATATCCATTAAAAAAGGGGGAAGATTGTATGAAGAGAATAGGGACAGAATATAGGCTTAAGAGTTTACTTTGGAGTTGGGTATCAGTGGCTCACATTTGTAATAATAGCTATTTGGGAGGCAGAGATTGGGAAGATAGAGGTTCGAGACCAGACAAGGCAAAAAAATCTGCCATTTCAACCAATGGCTAGGCACAGTGGCAGGTGTTTGTCACTCTAGCTGCTGTGGGAAGCATAAATAAGACTGTGGTTCAGGCCAGCCTGGGCAGAAATCAAGACCCTATCTCAAAAATAACCAGGATGAAAGGGGCTGGAGGCATGGCTCAAGTGGTAGAGAGCCTGCCTAGCAAGTCCAAAGCCCTGAGTTTCAACCCCAGTTCTGCCCAAAGAAAAAAAATTTACTTTGAATCCATCATAATATTTTATATAATTATAAACAAAATTAAATTACAAAAGCAATTCCAAAAGTCAAAATAAAATAAACAAGTGACTTGACATTTATATTCACTTAGTGGACCACAGAGAGAGGGACTATTCTAAGGGACTTAAAAGGATGGTAATCTGACTTTATATATAGCTAATAAAAAGGCACTGAGAACAATCCTCAACCGTTACAGTAATCATATTGCTGATAGTAGCATTGTTACTTGAATTTTTGCAGCTGTTATATGTATATTTCAAGATAAAACAAATAGTTCATTATGTTGGTGTCTTACAAAATGGGAAAAAAAGGAAACATTGATGTAAGGTTGTTGAACTTTAATGAAAACACTGTTGCCCTGAATTAAAATGAAAAGTATCATTATGAGTTCTTAATGTATTTTTCTTTAGAAAAAGACCTATTTCTTAGCTTTGTTCACTCAGAAGGCCTAGAAACAATGATCAACTTAGTAGCAATGAACACCTCTAACACCAGATTGTGAGTGTTAAAAAATCATTTACCACTAAAAGAAACAAGGATCCTTAGAAAAATGCCTGAAATCAACCTAGAACATGAAGTGTACAAGAAGAGCCTTACACCTCTTATTATGCCAAAAAAGAAAGGTAGTTTATCATAGTTGAGTCAAAAAGATTCAGAAGTTAATTCGAAATGCCTTAAAATGCTAACTATAGGATAATCAGCATCAAAAATGTAATAAATGAAACACATTGTGCTTCAATCATGATTCCAAAATTGTACTAAAAAAATCACCTCAGTGACCTTTGGAAAATACTAGGGAATGAATTCAATATTTTGAAAAGTGATTTCAAAATGGAACGAAGAAGATAATTAAGCACTTCTCTTGCCTGTAACTATACTTGAGAGTGAGCAGCTTGCTGATGTATGAAAATTTGCTTTATAGAACTATTCTAATAGTTCTTTACAGAACTATTGTAGCAGAAATGCTAGAAATTTAAAGCCATCATTTTATAACCACTAATGAATTAATGGAACTAGGACTAACCAATAATTATTCATGACTGCTAACATGACATTGAGAAGAAATGTATATTATACTTTACTCAATGACTATGTTTACTCTGCCACTCACATAGTAGTTAGGCCAAAAATTCCAACATGAATCTGATCAAGCCTCTAGATCAAGAGTTGGGGGACAACTCTTGATCCAAAATCAACATTTTGGATTTCTAGGCAAAGAACTCATCTCTGCCATTGTAGCTCGAATGCAGTCACAGTTTGGAAATGAATGGGCATGGTTGTGCCAAAATAAAACTTTATTTACAAAAATAAGGGGCTGGATCACAGACCTTAGTTTGTGAATCCTAATGTAGAATCTAGATATAAATTCCACTTTACAGGATACATAAGAAAAAAAGGAATATATTAAACAACCCACAACAATGCAATCAGCAAAATTCAGACTGAAGGAAACTGGTATCTTAAAAAGAAAAGAAAAACAGCAAGAGATGAAAAAGTTAGAAATTCATATCTTTATAAGAGACATAAAAGTCTTATAAAGAAATCAAAATACTGTGATCTTTATTTACATACTAAATGCCAACACAAAATGAGTCATGGAAATGAGTGGTGACATTAAGGAATTATTCTTTTAGGTGTGATAATGGTCCTTTTGTATGTGTGTGTGGTTGTTTTCAAGAGTTCATATCTTTAGAGATATATTTTTAAGTACAGATGGAATGATATGATGTCTGCTATTGGTTTCAAAATAATCTGGGTTGGGGCTACAGATGGAATAAGACTGACCATGAGTTGACTATTATTGGGATTTAGTTATGACTCTTTAAGTGTTCATTGTATAGTCTCCCTACTTTTGCATACATTTGAAATTTTCTGTAATTAAAAGGTAAAAAATATCCCACAAAACAAACCTTGGATTCAGTGGCAGAGTTGGAAAATGTAGGTGTTGAAGAAAAAAAAAAAAAACAGGTTTAGGCTTTTGAGCAAGGGAGTCTCTCAGGGTAATTAGGAGGATCATGTGGTGGATGGAATTTGACCTGTTTGTTCCTTAATATTAGAATCAAAACCACTGGAGCAAATCAGATTCACCCCAATGTTCCTGACAATCAGATCACCTCCTCAATCCATTCAGAAGGGAAGGAATTCAAGTGTGCCCAGCTTAGGGCTGGGGTACCAGTATACACTATTAGCTGCTCACTCAATATTGTCATGACCCTTCTTCCTTGTAGCAGGGTCTTAATTTTTTCAGAGATGCCAATGCCCATTTAAAAATAACCAGGCCCTCAGACCTCCTGGTAGCTAAGGTTGGCCACATGAGCTAGTTCTGTCCTCCAAAATACAAATGGAGGTCTAATGCTAAGCATTCCAGAAAATATATGATTTTTTAAACTAAGAGACAGACCCAGCAGGTGTATCCATTCCAGCTAATTATTGCCTAAGTAAAATTATAGTGCCTAGAGTATCTTGTTGCAATAAGGATAGAAGCAACACACCACAATAGGATAGGGAACAGAAAGGGACAGAGAGGGAGAGAATGAACCTAGGACATCATGGAGGCACTGCCATAGGGTTTCATGCTACATGAGAGACTCAAAATATGACATGGTTAATCCACCCACCATAGTAAGGCTTTCATTATATATGGACAAACACAATTACTCACTAATATCTCAAAGCCAACATATCCAAACTTGAACTCCTGACCTCCTTTAAGCTGTGTTCTCATGGCCTTTCATAGCTCAAGAAATGGCAGGACCCATCTTTAAGTTACTTAGACCACTCAGCTCCTCTTTGTCCTTGTTCCAAATTTAATCCATCAGCCAACACTGTTGGGTCCTACCTTGGAAGTGTGCTCACAACTGAACCTCTTCCTGGATTCTTCTGCTCAAGGTTGTCTACATAGCGCATTCCCTTAAATGAGCTCATTCCCTCAAATGAGCATATTCTTTTCAAATGTTACCTTCCAGAGAAGCCTTACAAGCTGGCCATGTGCATGTTTGCACTTAAGGCCCATTCTTCTTGGTCCTCCTTTGTGTATCAGGGAGCTGCATTTTCTGAGTTCCCTTACCACCTGGATCCTGGTGGGTGTGGCCCATGGGAGGGAGAGGTATTTGACTGAAAGCAGGAAGGAAGAAGGACCCAAGGCATGTGTCCTTTTCAGGCTGTATGTCTAGTAACCAGTGGGTCTTCTCTGAGACTCCAGCCCCCACCAGATAGACCTCCCTTCTGGTGTCCCAGCCCCACTGGACAGTCCTGGCACAGCTCCAGAGTCTACCAGGGGGCCACAACACCAAGGTTACACCTTTTCTGTCTGTCCTGCTGCAGTTAAAGTCATGGTTGTCTTGTGTGGGTCTTTGCTTTTTCCATAGCTGTATCATCAATTTTGTACCCTAAATCCCTCTGAAACACCACTGAATCCTGAGTCAACTTAATTGAGATGACTTCCATGAAGATACTAAATAAAATACCTCCACTTCTCTCCTCTTCATGTTACTGCATATCTTACTTAATTTTCCCTTGTACCTCTTATTGACACTTGACAGAGTACTCATTAATTTGTTTCTTTAACTAACTAATTCTCCACTGGAATACAAACTTCATGGACAGTACGACTTGTCTGCTTTGAGCTCTGCTGCATTCCCAGTGTCCAGAATGGAGCCTGGCCCAATGGTACGTGCCTTCCCCTCCTCCCCAACACACAAATGTTCTTTCATTTACTTAAGAGACTGATAAGCATTATGTTGCAGGCACTAGATATGAAGACAGATTGGTGAGTAAGATTTGCTTTTCTATAAAGCAGATTATTGCTTTGGCCACAGGAGGAATTGGCAGTGAGGAACAGCCTCTCTTGTGTCTTGGTACATTTCAGTAATCTTGTTTTTTATTTGTGGTGATTCCAAAACTGAGAATAAAAATTATTTGTGTTGAAATGGAAGCTCACTGAAAAGGGGACTCCATTGCTTCACCACTCAGACTCCTTAACGGGAGAGTGCACACTCACCTGACATGAAGTGGGATCTTGGGCACCTTCTTAGAGACCTTGAAATGGCCTATGTCCCCATAGACATCGGTAAAGTACACTCCAGCCACACTTGTCACCTGGTTCCCAGGGAACCTGGATAGTACCTTGTCATGGCCATGTTGACTAGCCCAATACCAGGCCTGGCCTCCGATGAGCAAACCCCCTCCATGCTTCACAAACTGGATCAGCATCTCAGTCAAAGGGTCACTGTAGGCACTGATGCAGTAAACCCCCAAGGGTTTTCCAGGTTGTGGCCCAATCTGTGCCTCAATTCCAGAGTCCTGCAGGAGATTCACCAGTGATGCCAGTGACGGGTGCACCACTACAGGAGCTCCAGGGGAGGGTAAGAGCCAGCCCACTGCATTGAGAAGAAATGGTGCCAAGCCATCATGCAGCAGGTAGCCCTCATGGGATACAACCACAAGGCGGCCTTGACCATAGGAGGAGGCAGCAATGAGCACCTGGCCCTTGTCATTCACCATCACTGGGAAGGCAGCCTCTCCAATAAGAAGGAGTTCACAGGGAATGGGGTCTTTGGGGACATCCCAATTTGTCACTCCATTCATAAGAGTCTCAAAAGCGGCAGTGGGAGTTGTTGCCATGGTTCTGTTAGCTGCTGCAGATAAAACAAAAACTCAGGTTAGTCAAAACAGATGGAAGAACAAATGGAAAAAACAAACAACTAAATACATTTACCTCCCAGGTTTTATTGAGTTCCCCACTGTGTGTCAACCATTGCTCTAGCACTGGGGGTAAAGCAAGGAACAAAACAGACAAGGACACCCTTTTCATGACTCAAAGATTTCAGAAGGGGAAATGACTATGAATAAATAGGTAGATAAATAATCCAGCATTTAGTAATCATTATGATGAAAATGACACATGGTGATGAAATATGGAACAACTGGAAGACCGAGATTGAATGACAGAAAAGACCTCTATGGCAAAGTGACATTGAAGCTGAATCTGAAATGCTATGTGGAAGAGCATTTCAGCAACAGAAACATCAGAACGGCTTGAGAGCCATGGGCAGGGAGAAATAGGACCTGACATGGACAGGAGAGGCAGAATTCTGCAGTAGTTCTGACAGCTTCGACCATATGAGTTGGAATTGCCTTTTAATTTTATCACATCTACCCTAATGGACAGGTCCCTAATTCCATTTTAGGGTGGCATCTTACAGTTTCTAGAGGAATTTTAAAATTCTCTTAAAATCAAGTGTGCTGAAAACTGAGCTCATTACAGCACACCCTTCAGGACAGCTCCTCTTGGATAAATTATTTAGGACTTGGTTTTCCCATTTCTAAAAAGAAAATACACCTCTAGACTGTTGTTGAAGATTAGGAGATATGAATGGAACAGGTGCAGTGAGCAGAGTAAACACTTGTGCGTGTCCCTCAGCTGCCCCTTCTAGTTTCTCTGAGTGACATGGCAGTGTAACTGGTGCTCCAGGCATCCTGTGTGGCTTCCTTGCCACACCTCTGAAGGACTTATGGACAGGGACTTTCCTGTCCATATCACCTCCACAGATGCCAGGCAGTCCTGAAGTGGCTGTGAGTTGACATCCCCAGTAAGGGGAGCCATGTATACAGTATGCTCAGTGCCTTCCTGAGGTGCATTCTAGATGTCCCCCAAAGAGCCCCTGGGGGACTGGGCTCCACTGCTTCAGCTTAAGTCCTTGCTGGGGAGCTCCCTCCTTCTTTGTCTTATTCTCCCCTCATCCTCACGTGGCTTTCTGCTCAAATAAGCTACTTGCTTTGGGGAATAACCTCAACTAAAACAGATTCCAAACCCTTGAGCTACATTTCTCTCCTTTCTTCCTCCCTGCAGGTCTCTCATCATCTCTTTCTCCCTTTAGTTCACATTCATGTCCAGACTAAACTGACTTGGTTGGAGTCTGCAGGATGTATTCTAATCTACAATATTCTTGCATAAAAACTTTAACAGAACCCTTGCTTTTCATTCGCTCCCCAGGAGGTGAAATTTGAAGAGTGCTTCACCCTTATTTTTAAGGCTTTCAGGTCTGACACTAGATTTTTTCCTATGAACTCTAGCAGACTTGGTATCCCTTAGCCTGCCCTGAGTTTCCTGTTGAATTCTATCTCCTCTCCTCACCGCACTTCCCTTCTTATCTTCCATCTCTTTCATAATATCACTCCTAGGAGAGTGAATTCACAGGACAGCATGTGGGTGATTTCAGCTTGGGGTAAAAGGCAACAGAGCGAGCGCGGGCGCGAGAGAGATCAGAAATCCTGAGTTCGAGATCCTACTAAATACCTCTGTGAAGATAAGCAAAGTCCTCGTCTTCTTCCTAGTTTGACGTGGAAAACCAAAAACCTGTCTAAGAGTAACCTGTGTAAGAACGCCAGCCCACCACTCTATCACAAGACGTGTTTGCGCGCGCGGACACACACATCTTTGTTAAATCGTGACTCAAGTTCAAAGAAGGGAGAGAACAGTGTGTCGAGACAACCAGCAAATAGTACCAAACCAGGGAAACAAAAGGAAAGCCTGGATTTGTGAGAAGAAACCCCGACTTCCGGGAATGGCATCCAACATCTTCTTAGGGTGCCCCTTTTCTGTCCCCCAAGTACTTGGCAACCCGTCCCCAACCTAGGACAAAGTGAAAAACTCACCATACAGCTGTCAGGATCCCTGGGGACTGGAGGCGCAGACACAGCTGGGCTTTCCGGGGGCGGGGCGGGGCTTTCCAGGGGCGGGGCTTTTAGGGGGCGGGGCTTTCCCGGGGCGGGGCCGGCCTAAGGGCGGGGCTGTTCAGGGCCGGGGCTTACGGGGGCGGGACTTCTCGGCGGAGGTGCCTCATAGAGGCGGGGCTTTCATAGGTGGGCGGTCCGTGGGCGGGGCTTTCCAGAGGCAGGGCTGTCCTAAAGGCGGGGTAGTCCTTGAGGCTAGCGGCTGTCCAGGGGCGGGGCTGTCTCTGAAAATGGCTGTCCAGGTGTGGGATTGGCTAGGGAGTGAGCTGTCTCGGAGGCCGGCTATCCAGGAAACCCAGCTGTCCAGGGTCGATGTTCTCCTGGAGGCGGACTATTCAGAGGGCTGGGCGGACCCCCAGCGAGACTATCCAGGGCTGGGGCTCTTCGTAAGGCGGGCTGTCCCGGGATGGCGCTGTCTTGGAAGCGGCCTATTCGGAGGACCGGGTTGTCCCAGGGACTGGCTTTCCAGGGGGGAGCTGTCTCAGAGGCGGGCTGTTCCGGAAACGTGGCTGTCCCGGGGCAGGACTGTCCCGGAGGCGGGCTATTGAGAGGACCGTGCTGCCCCATGGTCGGTCTTGAAGGCGGGACCATCCTGAGAGCAGGGCGGGGTGGAGCGACCACACCTGGAGCAGCGCCATCGCCCCCGATCGTTTCTTGTCTCCCGGGCTGGCCTCACCTGGGGCGGCGCTGCGGGGTGGCGGGACGCCTGGCTAGAGCGCGGCCCTAGCATCCAGGGGTGAAGGATCGCTGCAAAGTTTGTGACGAAAGCAAACTCCAAGTCTCCAATCATCAGATTCAGGGCGCACAAGCCCCAACAACAGTGTAACTCACGGCGGTGCTCAGCAGCTGCCGTTCACCCTCTGGGAAACAACCCGGAGGACCCAGCCCTGACATTTTGGTCTGGGGGCATGCACTGAAATCTGGCCCAGAGATATTGTTACAGGGAAAGAAAGGTGACTGTGACGTCCCCAAACCAGGACCTCGACTGGAAAAGTTAAGATACAGCTATAGAGTAGCTGCTGCTTGAATTTCTACCCAAGAGGGGTCAGATGTGAAGGTAGAAGGATACGGAATCGGAGCTTTGTCGCAAATCTGCTTTTGCACAGTTTTGCATAGCAACTGTACTTTTTTTGGTAGCGTGTTGTTTGTTTTTCTTTTTTGAGGGGGAAGACAGAGGATGCAGGAAAGGGCAGGAAGATATTATGACTAGAATTCCTAGGAAGAAGGGACTTTTTGGTCTCGTTTTTCTCTAGCTGCTTTTTGAGGTTAGCACTGGTGATACGTATAAATCATTGCTGTGCTTATAAAACTGTTAGACGTGTTTATTTTTAAGGAACGGGTACGTGACCTGTACCTTTAAGCATCTCTTAAAAGCAGCAGTTTTTTCCCACACATATCTCCACTGGATTTTAACGTGTAGTGGTCTTCTCATTCGTAAGTCTCTTTTCTGTCCTCTAGCTTGTCAAGTCGTTCTTCACCAGATTGATTCTCTGGCCCATGCTGTTTATAAGTAAGTAGCATCTCCTCCAGGACCTTGCTGTCCAGTTGCCCATTCTTTTTTCCCGAACTAACAATATACTTATGATTCTTTCTTGCTTTTGTGTGTACCCAGGTCATTCTTTCCTGCGGTTCACTCTTTGTTACGCCTGCTTCTACCAGTTTATTTCCTTCCCGGCCTCCAGTGGACTCCCACCCAGACCTACACTGCATCCTCCCTCCTTGACTTCAGTGCACGCTTGGCAGTGTTGACTCTTTTCATTTCACTCCATGATTCTCTTAAACTAACATAATGCCATGTTGTTACTGTACCTCTCTTTGGAACTTTAACAAACTATACTCTCAGCTGTTGAATTAAATACCATCTAAAGCTGTCCTTACTCTGACTTCTTGTAAACTACAACCTGACTTCTTATGTGAACAAACTACAACCAAACTACAACCAACGCTCCTTGTTGTATTCTAACAATCGTAGTTGCTGAGCTTTAGTTAATCACAGACTGATACTAGGCAAAGTTCAGTTGTAACAATCAGGCTGCTCTGTAGAGAACACCCTCTTTCTGTCTGTAAATACCACAAGCTCTCAGTAGTGGGAAGGACTCCTTCAACTACTCCTGGTTCTGGGTGCTGCCTCCTTCCTGAATCACATTGCTCAAATAAATTTTGTTGTTTATTTAAAGTTTTTCATTTAAAACTTCAAAGCAATTTTTTTCAAGTGGGGGGAATGAGATTCTGATACCTTAATACATTGTGAAATGCTTCTTGTTTTGAGCCCACTTGTGTCCCACTCCCATTCTTGTGCTGAAGTCCCAACCTTCAATATCTAAGAATATAACTGTATTTGGAAATAAATCCTTATTTATTTATTTTGAGATTGTCTTGCTATGTCCACCAGGTTGACCTTGAACTCAAGCTCTCCCTGCCTCAGTCTCCCAAGTGCTGAGATTCCAGGCATGTACCAACACAGGCTGGCTGAGAACATCTTTAAAGAGATGATTAAGTTAACACAAGGTCATTAAAAGGACCTAATCCAGTATGACTGGTGTCCAACTAGGGAGAGAGAGAGAGGAACATAGAGGAAAGACCATGTGAGGATACAGTGAGAGGCAGTGTCTGCAACCCATGGAGAAGGCCTCAGAAGAAACCAAACTCTACTTGCCCCTGATCTTAGATTTCCAGGCTCTAGAAGTATGAGAAAACAAATGTTTGTGGTTAAGCCACCAATCTGTGATTCTTTGTTATGATCGCCTTAGCAAATGAGTGTATGTCTCCTATTCCTTCCCTGGAAGCAAATTTAAAGAGATGTTATTCAGAGAAGTCAAGTAACTACCTCAGAGAGAATCATAGCTTGGGTTTGTGTAGACTCTGCAACTTACTTTAGAGAAACAACCTGCACCCATTAATAGCTCTGCTTTTAGGGTAAAAAATACGCATGGAAATCTTACTTTCACAACAAGGTCACATGTTCCTTTCATTTATTCCCATAAAGAACTAGTAAATAAATAAAACCTAAAAAAACAAATACTATTGGTGGTGAGAATATGACAATATACAAGTCTCCCCAAAATGAACCATAGGTATTTATTAAATGTGAATTATATATATATATATGTACATATACATTAACAGTCTGTATACCCCTATCTGTTTTCGCTATGACCTAGCAATCTCACCTTCAGATATGTCTTCCATGTAAAAGTGTAGATGGTTATTCACGAAAAGATGTTCATTGCAGAATTTATTTTAAATAGAAAGACAACACAAAATTACTTAATCAAAAGTTCAAACTATCAGTAAGTTAATGGTGACATTAAGATATACCATATAACGGAACACTTTCCAACCACTGAAAGGAGTAAAGTGGATCTGTGAGTAATAATGTGGAAGTATTTGCAAGTTTAATGTTTAATATATGTTGGTTAGTATGCATAATATGTTTACATAAAATAAAGGCTTCCATTATGAAATTTTGAACATGTTTACAATGTACTTCTATCAAATTCACAAACATCCACCCTCATGCCCTCTCTTCCCTCTCCCCCATTATCCTCTGTTGTTTCTCTCCCCACTCCAAATGGTTCTTCAAACAGTCCTCACTGGTTCATCAAATAATCTCCATTCTATTTTCATCTCCATTCTATTTTTGTTTAATACAACAATCTCCCATTGCATCAATTTTTTTCCTGCAAATGACATGATTTCATTATTACTCCATTATGCATATGCATCCCATTTTCTTTATCCATTCATCTGCTGGCGAGCATGTTGGCTGATTCCATTATCCATTCCTCCAGTCCCCATAATTTGCCTGTTGTGAATAGTGCAACAATAAACAGGGTGTGCATGCATATCTATTGCATGATGTCTTTAATTCCTTTGCATGTATAACCAGGAATGGTACAGCTGGTCCATATAGTTCTATTTTTAGTTTTTTGAGAAAGTTGCATACTGGTTTCGTAATTGCTGGGCTAATTTGCTTTCCTACCAACAGTGTATCCTTGCATCCTTGCTGCATTTGTTTCTTTCCTGATGACAACCATTATGACGAGGGTATCATGGAATTACAATATAGTTTTGATTTGCATTTCCCTAAAGGCTAGAGTTATTTGTTCTTTTGGTGTTTAGTTTTTGAGTTCTTTATATATTCTGGATATTAATCCCTTGTGAGATAAATAGCTGGCAAAGATTTTTCCCCATTTTATAGGTTGTCTCTTTACTATGGTGATTGTTTCCTTTGCTGGGCAGAAGCTATTTATTTGTCTCTATGTTTTTCTCTGGCAGTTTCAAAGTTTCAGGTTGTATATTAAGGTCTTTGGTCTATTCTGGTTTTTTTTTTGTACAGATTGAAGGATAGGAATCTAGTTTCAGTTTTCTACATGTAGATACCTATTTTCCAAGCACCATTTGTCAAAGAGGCTGACTTTTCTCCAGCATACGTTTTTGAAATCTTGGTTTAGAATCAGTTGGCTGCAACTACATGGATTTTTTTTTCTTTTGGTGGGGGGATTCTCCTATTATGTCCCATTGTGTTTTTGTGCCAGTACTATTCTGTTTTTATTATTATAGCTCTGTAGTATAATTTGAAGTCAGATATTGTGATTCCTTCAGCATTGTGCTTTTTGCCCCAGGTTGTTTGGCTATTCTGAGTCTTTTTTGCTTCCATATGATCTTTCAGACTGTTTTTTGTAGTTTGGTGAAGAATGTCCTTGGAAGTTTGATGGAGATTGCATTGAGTAGAAGGATTTTGGTAATCTACAAACATGGGAGATCTTTTCATCTCTTAAATCATCAATTTCTTTCTTCAGTGTTTTCTAGTTTTCATTGTAGAGTTACAGTTTACTTTGTGTGTGGGGGGGTGCGGGGGGCAGCTGTTTTTCTTTCTGAAGTCCAAACAAATTAGATCAGAAAGGGTTGTTTGCAGGCTGAGCCCCATTTTGCCTTTCTTGCTAGGCTGGATTCCTGTCAGTGTTTTCCTGTGCGC